AAAATGCCGAGAGGGGTAGGTAATATGAACTACGTCGTGAACATACGAGACGATTTCACTGGGTTCGTGGACGGTAGACCTATCAGGAGTAAGGTAGCAAAGGAAGTAAAGAACTTTGTCCTAGAATACTTATCTAGGTATGGTTGTGTCAGCAAGATAGTGATGGACAGAGGGGCGGAATTCCTAGCCGACGAGGTCCAGAGCGTGTTTAGGAGAGCCGGTGCGAGAGTTTCGATAGCCACCGCCTATCACCCGCAATCAAACTCCCCAGTGGAGAGGGGACACCAGACTCTGATAGCGTCACTGTCCAAGTGCTGCAAGGGTAAGGACAGTGATTGGCCACGATATTTTCGATACGCAATATGGGCGGACAACGTCACTGTCCGGGCTAGTACCGGATATCCACCGTACACCTTGTGGTTTGGGCGACATTGTCCGCTTCCCAAAGAGTTTCACGTCGACAGTTGGACAACCGTTGACTGGGCGGAGGAGATGTCCAGAGAGGAACTCTTAGCTGCCCGAACGAGGCAAATAGCCTACGGTTTGGAACATGACCTCATGACAGCGGCATATCGTCTGGTAGTAGAAAGGGAAAAGGGTAAAGAGAGATGGGATAAGGACGTGCGAATCAGGAAAGAGAAGGTAAGCGTAGGAGATATGGTCCTCCTTTACGATGCAGCGCTGGAAAGGACCTGGACCGGAAAGCTTGCTAATAGATGGATGGGACCTTACAGAGTGGTGGAGGCACTCGACTGGGATGCATATATGATAGCAGAATTAGACGGATCCAAGTGGAAGGACCCAGTGGCGGGTGCTAGATTAAAGTTGTTTAGGCCCACGCCCGCTCCCGCCTTATCACTGACCAGCCCGATAGGAAAAGGGAAAGCCATAATGGAGGATCGAGCCCGGTTAAGGAAATTCGAGGCAGGGGAGAGTTCTAAGAAAAAGAAAAGAATAGAGAAGAGAGAGGTCAAAGGGATAGCTTTGGGAAGAAATAGGAGATGGTTATTCGTGCTCAAGCGAGCTAGACGGAGAGTTCGCGTTAGGTGTACTGGCGGGTCGACACCCTTCTCGGGGCAAAGACAGAAGACAGAGAGGATCGTGTCGGGACGAAAAAACAGAAGAAACAGGAAAGTCAAGAAGCATCTTCTTAGCCCTAGGACCCATAACAAACTGAAGCATAAGGCAATTGAACGCCGACGTGGGCGTCCATTACGGACTATCACTCTGAAGCTCGTCCGCTTCGTCTGACGCAAGTTGCTAGGGCTTGACGGGGGCGTCGAGAAGTGGTCCGGGCTAACTGTCAGGCTGCCGCAAGCAGTGCGCCGCTTGAGATCTGCAGTTTTGGGACTTAGACTCAGGGACAAGTCCGCGTTTTGATGGTACTCTCGTATGACCAGGCAACAAAAATTAGGGGAACTCAGGGCACCCCTGATTCTAGGCGCGCTGAGCCTTACAAGTAGTCCTCAAAGATGGCGAGATAAGTGGCCACACTTGGCGCATCAAGGGGCCGTCATTCCCGGCCGTTTAGAGAGCTAGACTCGGATTGGCCTGCCGCGGAGAGGCATCGCGGGAACCGACTTCGCCGCAACGTTTTGCGGCATACGACCGGGACTGAAATGAGGCCTCAAATTTTTGTCTATTTTTGTACCTAAACTAAAGATGGGAGAAAAGATTGGGAACAGTAGGGGGAAAGACAAAAACATAATATCCCCTAGTTCCCTTATTTTTTGCGGCAATTAAATTTTGAGGAAAATACTTCGTTATTTTATGTTTCCGGCAATGAAATGGAAAACCAGAGAAAAAGATTTAAAATGGTAAGGGGGAGAAGAAAAGAGAGAATTTCAACCATTTGATTAAACTCCCTCAKAATTCAATTTTGGAGAACCTACGGCTAATTCACTATCTCAGACAATAGAATTAAGGAAAAGGGAAAGCGACCAGAATGATGGAACAGAGCGATCGAAAATCTCCATGACGCGTCCCCTACTTACCTGATTACTAACCTTACTCGGTACACGCGATGGCCACATGCATATGGACAGCATGGGATCGTGTTACATTCGACCGACAACATGATGTCAGGTTCGGTACCGGACATGTTTGAGGTTCGGCCTTAGCCGGTATCCGTGTATTTCAGGTTCGGAGCCTGGACGGCAGGTTATTCCAGGTTCGGCGCTATCACGGGTATTTAGCTCAGGCTCGGCACCAACACTGCGGCCATTTATTCCAGGTTTGGTGCCACTATRGCGGTTTATTTCAGCTTTGGGACCACTACGCCAGTCTATTTCAGGTTCGGGATGACTACGCTGGTGCATTCACATTGCGACCTATGAGATATAAGTGTGGGATTAGATGGTTGTCGTAGTGTCGCTGCTGTGTTACTTCAGTTGCRCCGCTCAGCTTCATTGCTTCGGTGTGGCCRCTGGTTCGGTTCGGGCACAGAGTTCGGGGAGTTTCAGCACTATTGTTGGGCTGCGACATTCTATGGTATTCGRCATAAGCTCGGTATTGGTTCGGGAACGGCATGCTTCAGATTTGGTATTGGTTCGGCATCGGAGTGGTACACGCCGTCACATTGTTCGCAGGTTCGGAATTGATCACGTATGGGCATGGGACTGCTGGCTGGTGCTACCACGAGACTGCGGGATTGTACGATATTAGGCATGTTCCAGGTTCAGTAATGGCGTGGCATCAAAATGGTACAGTCCGCTGCAGTTAGAAACGTCGTCTCAGGTTCAGTTTGATTCTGATTTGGTACGGTATGGTTCGGGCTACTGCGGCTCGGAACAGAGGTTTCAGGCTCGGTGTTTGTTCGGAATTAATGCGGCACAAATTGGTACGGTTCTGGATGGGTTCTTCAGATTTGACACCGGTATGGTAAAGGCTCAGCTGCTGCAGTCCAGATTGGTGATTTCCAGGTTCGGCATTGGTATGGAATCGGTGCAGGCTGTTGCAGTCCGGGAAGGACATTTCAGAACCCGGTTTGGCACGAGTAGCAGCGGAATCGGTG